CTGCAACAGGGAAGCGCTGCTTCTGTCAAAGCTGTGATCCCAGTCTCTGTACAGCAAAGAGGCAGAACTCTGCAGAACTCTGCAGAACTGCAGCAGAACTACTCCCAGGGGAGAAAACAGCACAAGAAAAAACTTATTTTAAGCCAGTCAATTCCCTCTGCTGATTTCAGAGGGGACTGGTGGGGCTGGGAACAGCTGGAGAACACGGGGGACCCCAATGGCAGAAACCCCCTGAAAGCTTGGAGAGATCAGAGAACCACAGAATGGTTTGGGTTGGAAGGGACCTTAAAGATTATCTTGTTCCACCCCCTGCCTTGGGAGGGACACCTTCCCCTATTCCAGGTTGCTCCAAGCCCCGTCCAACCTGGCCTTGGACAGTTCCAGGGATGGGGCAGACACAGCTTCTCTGGGCAACCTGTGCCACTTACTCAGAGCCCCATCCAGCCTGGCCTGAGATACCTTTGAGATCAGACCTCATTCTCCATCCTTCTGGCACAAACCTGGAGTGCTTCACATGTAAATCAGAGAGTGTCTCCAGCTTCTCCTTGTCCAACAGGATGGAGACACAGCCAGTCCCCCACCTCCTGCAGCTCACTTCTCTGTGCTTTATGTGCTGAGTGCAAGCACCTGAGGACACAAGCTAATGCCTGGTCACCTCTGAGGACTGCAAAAGATTGAGCAGAAGACGTCAAAAGCAAACAATTTAAAGCAACGCATTTAATTAAAACCAAAATGAGAAGTTGTTGCGAGTCCAACAATTGCAGTCTGCAGAGCTCTGACAATCTTCAGGGAAAATTAACACAGGCTGCTAATAGCAGCATCCAATTCACCGGTGTCTTGGAGGAAACATTCATGGGGGAAGGTAGGAAATAATCTTCAGATGAAACAATTACTGATGAGCTGCATGGCAAGGACACGATGGCATCGTTCGGGGGGCAGATGCAGATGCATGAAGATTCAAAGAGTAATAAAAAAAAATCTTCCTCCATCTCTGCCATCTTGTCAGATGCTCCAACCCAAAACATGGTCTCAAGTGGAAATTCCACTTCCCGCTGTTCTCCTGGCTTTGCAGGGTGGGAACTGGATTTGCTGTCTTCCCTCTGTCGCTCACAGGGCAGTGTCCACCCTGGGAGAGTTCATCCAGACTTGCAGCAGTGATGGAGCCATATCAGAGCAGTTCAGAGAGCCACAGCAGAGGCAGCACCTGCCCATGCCAAGCTCCAAGTCCGTGGCAGGGACTGTGCCTGCCCACACCAAGCTCCAATCCCACAGTGAGGACCGTGCCTGCCCACGCCAGCCTCCACACACCCAGCCTGCAGCTCAGCAAGGTGCAGAAAGATTACCACATCCCTCCTGGCATTTGCCTCAGAAGAGGAGGGAAGAAGCTTGTAAACGCCCCAAAATGTCTTTGAAGTGACACAAACCTGCTTTATGCCCTTTGCTTTATTTCCACTTATAAACAAAGCCCTACCAGCCCCTTGCTAAATGCAGTTCTTGCTTCCTTCCAGTGTACCACTGGAGGATCTTACCTACCTCTCCCACTAAAGTATCCAGATACAAACATCCACCCACACCATATATAACCTCTCACAGGCCGTAAAAGGGGGAAGCTTTAATTGATACTATATTTCACACTGTTGTGCAGCAAGGACGTACTCCAGGCTGAGCCCTCCAGGGTATCTTTCTCCAGCCCTGACTTCCCTGCAAGCTGCTCCCATTGCTCCATCTCTACTTTTTGAATGATTACTTACAAGAAAAAAAAAACAAACAAACAAAAAAACAACTATTGAACGTACAGCTGAGTGGCTCACATTTTCATAACAGTTTTATTACTCAGATGGAGGGGCTCTCATTCCTTTCTTCCCCCCCCTTGACTCTGCTAAAGGGTCCTTTAAATAACGCCTTGCATTTCCATATCCTCATAAAAGCTACTACGGTTCTTTCCATAAATCTGCACCACCTCTGAAATCAGAGCGATGCCTTCTGCTCAGCACGGGCAGAGGCTGTCCCGAAACACAAAGCCCTGGAGCAGCAGAAGGGAGGAGAGGATGCTCCAACCGCTCCATCTGAAGAGAGGATTTAGAGGCACCAACTCATTTCTGGGAGGCAGGAGGTCCCAGCTCTCCCTGCGAGCCACGGCAGCTCCTGCCAGGCTCCACTGGCCCCATGAAGCGAAGGCAGAGCAGCTGTGCAAACCAGGCAATAACTGCTCAGCGGGGAGCGAGGCAGGGGGACCCCATCAAATGAACAAAAGGAAGAAAACAAACCGAGAGAGGAATAAGGGCAATAGAGACAGGCTGGTTATTAGCACTGCTGCTTGGAATATATCCTCCCAGCTTGGCTGCCAGTTGGCTTCTGGTCCCGGTCCTTCCCCTCTCCTTTCCCACAGTGCCACTCCAGCAGGCTCAGGAGCTGCTTCCTCTGATGCTGTTGCTCGCTGCAGCAGGGAACGCTGCTCTTCTCCAAGGCTGGAGACATTTGGGGGGGCTGCTCCCCCCTCTCCTTTTCCCAGCTTGGCTCTGGCTGCTGGCACTCCGGAGCTGGCTGGCATCTATTTAAAGTTTCCTTCAAAGCTGAGTTCTCATCGTCTAGGAGAGGGATTTCTTTCAGCCTCTGTCTTTGTTTGGCTTCTCCTGCAGAGGTGCCGGTAGCGGCTCCGCTTTCACATTTTTCTTGGCTCCTGGCATCTATTGAAATCCTGCATTTCAAAAAGGAATGAGAGGGCACCGCTCCCTCGCACAGGAACATCTCCTGTGAATGCACCATTCCTGCCTTCTCGCAGAGCCTGCCTTATCATCATGTAAAACACAAAAGGGAGCAGCTTCAGGAACCAGGCGATTTAAGCGCAAGGCATCACTTATGAGACATGGTGCCACCATCAGGTGCCACGTGAGAGGCTCTTTCAAGACTGATCAAAGCTCCCAGACTCTGCCAGGGCCAAACACATCAGCTCTGTTGCCACCCCGGTGCCATGGGGATGCCCAAGCCAAGTCCCTTTTTCAGCCAGTAAAAAGCAGGTTTAACCCCTGCAGGAGATTGCCAGGGAGGAGCAGGTTCCCTGTTCTCCACCAGACTCCAGGTGCTGAGCCTTGGCAAACACAGCCAGCCACGCTTTTTCCTGGGTATCATTAAAATTTCCCAACCCAGCTCAGTTCTGCGATGCCTTTAAATGCTTTGTAATATTTTGCTGCCAGTTAGATGCCACCTTGGGATTTGTTGTTATTCAGAAAGAAGGGACAACTTTAAGAGCTTTTCTCTTCCCAGGCAAGGAACTGCCATCGCATAAAATGATGAGATTTCAGGAAAAGTGATAGCCACTGCAAAATGTCTTGGCTGCTTCTCTGTGAAGAATTTGACTGTTTCTCATAAAAAATATTAAAAAAGTTTTCACAGTTTGTAATTATATTTTACAGTTTCATTACAAAGCTCATTTTAATTCTTCTCCAAACTGTTGTTACCAGTCCTCTTGCCACTTTCTCTTCAGAAAAGTCATTAAGTCGGGACTGGAGATCATCCCATTTCCCCCAGTTTCAAGGATATTAATCTGTTCTATTGGTATTTCATTGTCATTTTCATTTGAGTGTTCTCTGCATTTGCATAATTTGCATTGCCACCCCTTTCCTGGTGACAGGCACAGGCTCAGTTTTTCACTTTCATTCTACGCAGTCTCACTGCATTTTGTTTATTTTCTTTTTTGAGGACACTCTGCCTTCCCTGGGCCAGAACCCCAGGCTAGGACCAGGATGCCGTCTCCATCACTGCCTTCCTGGCCAACCTTCAGCAAGTACCAAAACCAGTTGTGAACTCCCAGTCCAAGTGCTGAACTGGCCAGTGCCCATCCCAAAGGGACACAGGTTTGCACTGGAGCCACCTCATTTACCAAGTGCAAGAGTTTCTGTTCTCCAGCTACTCAGAATAACCATCTGTGAAGACTTCAGAATATCCACGTGCAGCCTGGACAATCCTGAAAGCCTTTTAGAAACAGGTCAAGGTGTAGACAAGTCCCTTTTTTCAAATTATAAAACCACAGAATCACAGAACGGTTTGGGTTGGAAGGGACCTTAAAGATCTTCTTGTTCCAACCCCCTGCCATGGGCAGGGACACCTTCCACTAGACCAGGCTGCTCCGAGCTCCGTCCAACCTGGCCTTGAACACTTCCAAGAAGAGCCATTCTTAGTACACCTCAAACACACTAGTGACTCCCACTCTGCCACGGGATGATGGTTTCAGCCCCTCTCCAGCACTCCCTGCAGCTGTCACCCCTTTGCATCTCTTTAACCATCTCCCTCTCCCCAAAACATTATTCCCCCAAGAGCTGCCCTTCCCTCCAGTTCCCAAAGGGGGGGTTTCCTAAGGCTGCCCATGCCAGGACACCCCAGCAGCTGCTGATGCACTGGCTCCATGCAGCACATTTGTGGCAAAGTGCCCCTTCCACATGCCCCAAGCAAGGAGACGAGTGCAGGAATTGGAACTGACTGAATAATGGGTCCTGTCTGCTGGAAGAAAATGAAATTTGCCCTCATGTTACTGAAAACTTGCACTCGGTGCTCACTGCACATTATAAAGAAAAGGTCAGTGAAACACAACAAATGCAAGGAGCCCAGTTGGAGAAAGCAATAAATAGTGACAGCAGCACTCGTCTGATTTTTCAAAGCGTCTCTGCTTTTGCTCAAACCCCAGTAATTCCCCTCCCTGCTGCTGCAAGGGCTGGGATGAGCAGCTCTGCTGCTGCAGGACAGGAGGATGCCTGTCTCTACAGGCTCCCAGGGCTGGAGCTCAGAGGAAAACAGGAATATCCGTCAGATACGATTAGCAGCAATAATAATAATGATAATATTAATTGACATGATTAAGATTGTGGCCTCGGGCTCGCAGATGCGCTTTGCTCCCGTGCAGAGGGGGATCCCTGCAGCTGAAAACAGCTGGAGCGATTCCCAAAGAGAGGGATTCCCGTGCCCCAAAGGCATGTGGTGGGGGCAGAGTCCCAGGAGGGTCTTACCGTCGGCGATGAAGTGCTCGGGTACGTGCAGAGTCACCTTGACGGTCAGCGGGCAGGAGAGCTGCGAGCCACAGACCACGGCCAGCACGCAGGAGCTGACCGCGATCAGGGTCAGCGCCGTCTTGTTGACAGGGCTCTTCATGGAACCTGCAAGGCAGAAGACAGGGGTGGGTGGCCAAAAGGCAAAGATGTACCCAAGGCTTGCTCGGCCTCCCCCATTCCTGGCATGTATGTATCCCCCTTCCCCAGCCCGGGGAAGGCAGGCACTGAAAACAAGGATGTCAGCTCAGCAGCAGTGGAAGAGCTCCTGAGGTCCTGCACACCTCCCATCATTCCCATCACTCCTTCTCTGGCTGAGTTTTTAACACTCGTGTTGTTCCCCTCACTGAGCTACAGCGGGGGCTTCATTTCGCTAGAGGAGGGAGAAAACCTTCTCAGAGCCCTGTACAGACCCTCTCCCCAGGAACTTCCCCTCCCCAGAGCCACCCATCACCCCTAGTGAAGCCACCCATCACCCACACTCCTCTGGTGAAGCCACCATCACTTCTCATCAACCTTGGTTTATTCAGTGAATCTCATCAAGCCACAAAAAATAACCAAGCCAAATCTGAGGGCTGTCTGGAACCAGGGGATCACTTGCTTTCCCTTAACACCAAGAGAAATTACACCTGTCAGTGTTATATAGCACTAATGAGTGCTAATTATTTACACAAATATATAAATACTCAGTCATCACAGAGGGACTACATCGCACAACACAGCGACCTCCAGAGCCAGCTGCTTCTGACAGGCAGGAGATATTACAAAACAAGTTTTATTATATCAGGTGCAGAAGCTCACAGTGTATCCCACAAAGCAGGATACACGAGATGCCACCTGTCAAAGCAAGTACCCAGCCTGCCTGGTCCCCAGCAGGCACCCTCACAGCACATGGATCACTCCCAGGCTGCCATCCTTCATCTCTAAGGCCACATGCCCGGCATCAGGACTAAGGGATGTACCATGAGCTGAGGGGACCCCATTATCCCACTTTGCTCAGACCAGCACACTCAGACACCTGGTCAGTGGCTTCTATTTTATTTGGAATTTTTTTGAAGCAATAGGTAAAAGTAAGCAAAAAAGGACCTTGAGCATTCAGAGGTCATTAGAGGCTGCAGCAGATACAAACCCACTGGGAAAACCTCGTAGAAAAAATGCAGTGTTAGGATGGCTGAATCACCTACAGTTGGGTGGGACAGAACAATGCCCAAATTCTGTAGGGAATGGGGTGAAGCCATCGGGAGACATCTGGCTTCCCCAGGAGGTTCAGGTGCTGTCACTGGATGCAGGCTGGGAATGCCTTTGTGTCCAAATGAGACACCCTCCACCAATGGAGATGACCAGGAAAAACCATCTCAGGCCACTGCTATCCCATCAACAGGTCTTCACTGCCTGAGAAGGGAGCAGCCCCGGAGCCTGCATCCTTGGGGCACCCCTGATCCCTCTGGACCGGAGGGCTGCCCTGCCACTGCTCCGACTGCACCACATCCCCCACAGCCACCTCATCCGACACCAGCGCCCTGCTTTCCTCAAAGCCAACAACAGGCACCTCACAGGCACCTCACCTTCCCTTCTCTGGGGCTTGGGATGCTGACACAAAACCACCTGGTGAGAGTGTCCATGACAAGCAGAGGGCACAGCCCTGCACTGAACCCAGTCAGTGGCTGCACAGGCCATTACAGTGAGGCTGAGACAACTGAGCTGCTGACCACATCCCTGCTCAGGATTCAGGTGAGGACACTTATTTATTTTTGGAAACTAGTGCAGCCTCTCCCTGCTTGCTCCCCAGCCCTCACCATCTCATTAGCAAAGCAAGATTTGAAAATTGAACAGGAAATAGGTCCACAAGTTAGCACTTGCACACCCTGTAATTTGACCAAAGCTGCTGCTGCAAATGTTGCTGCCCGGGCAGGGACCTCACGCTTAGCACAACGTGTGCTTTCCAGGCAGGGCAGTGAGCCTCAACAAAGCATCCCCTGCCACAGGATGGAGCCTGCCACAGGGGATGCTCCAGCCAGGATTTTCAGGACAGGAGAAGCAGCTGAAGAAGAAGCCCTTGTTTGACAAACAAGAGCATGCAAACTGATTATTTATGAAGCATCTTTTCCTTTCCTTATGCATGCATCATCTAAACAGCCTTCCCACCCCCATTTCACAGCTTTATCGCCAATCCCCTGTGCCCTTCACCTTGCAATCCCCTTTTTTCCTTCCTAATCTTTATTCATGTCATCAGCATAAGTTAGCACCTCCTTGGGAGGCAAACTCATCCTCTTGCTGGGCATACTGTGCCTGCCACAACCCCTGCTTGGCTGGAAGTTACGACAGGAATGCAAAAGAAAAAAAGAGGAAAAAAAAAAGAAGAAGAAAGAAAAGGCAAGGGAAAAAGCCTCCATTGGGATAAGTGGACACAATCAAATATACAATAGACCAGAGAACACTGGATTTCACCATTATAAATCACCTTTCAATCCAGGGTCTTAAAGTGCTTTGCAAACATTAAATCATAAATCCTTTATGAGTTAGATGAGTATTATCCCCTTCTCACAAAGAGCCTGAATCACAGGTATGATGGCAGCTTTCACCACCCTGCAGCCGCAGTGGAGCTGCAGGAATGAGGATCTCCCATCCCCATCAGTCCGTGGGCTTCTTCTCTCCCCATGACTCAGAGGAGAGGAGCACAAGAGCTTGAAACAGCAAAAAGCCCTTTACAGCTCCATGAGTTTGAGCTTGGCTGCCCAAGGAAAGGGACGGATGTTCCAAGTCTCCTGCAACTCCTTTCCCTGCTTCCTTGCCTCCTGTACTCACTCATTTCCATCAGACTGCTAATCACTGACCTCTAGAACTGCCTGACGTCGGTTTTGACCAACTGAACCAAAACAACGTGGCTTCTACTTGAGCAGAAATTGCATTTCCAGCTCAGCTCTTTATTGCTTACGGCCAGTTCACTGCCGGGTTTGAAGGGAGACTGCTGGAAAAGCAGATCCTTCCCTTGTTCTCTGAACAGAGGGACAGGGCTCTTGTTTTCCATCCCATTCCCTGCTCTTCAGACCACTGATGCTCCAGCAGAACCACTGCTGTGCTGCATTTAAACACCCATCTGGAGATAAACAGTTTCACTCCAGGCCTCTAAAACAATAAGCAATTGTATTCTCAGCAAGCCCCTGCTAACCAAACCCACCTCAGCAGGGTCACCAGGGCTTCACTCTGTTCCAGAGCTGAAACAAACTGATCCATTCCTTCCTCAGCTCAGGGAGGGGATCCAAATCCAGCCTGGTACCTCAAGCAGTCCCAAATAAATTCCAGTGCTGCAGATGAGCAAGCTGAATTCTGCTCTTTCCCTCCTCTCCTTGTCAACTCTGGGCTTTCAGGGAGGTGTTTGAAGAGCGGATTTGCAAACCCAGGTTACCAAACAAGCTGGTATCAATCTCCTTTACCAAAAGGAGGAAGCTGGGTGGGGAATATCCACCTTCATGGATGGCTGATGGGACTCAGGAGCCCTGAGAGCCACAGCACCCAATGCAAACCTTGATTTGAGTCTTTGAGGTACAAAAAGGTCAGGAGGAAGATGGTGACCAGGCACAGCTGAGACCAAACCCGCTCCCCAGATCCCCCTGCCCTAAAAAATTGCTTCATACATTAAGATGACCTCTCTGTATTTTTAATTAAAGATGTTTCTGTTGTATTTTGAGTGGTTGCAAAGGAGTTAGTGGGTGCCCAAGGGCTGTTCTGGGGAGAAAGTGAGGGCCTGTGGGGGCTTCCAGGAGGGGCAGACCTGTGTCCAAGAAGCAGTTAGAGCAGCAGGCAGGGCAGTGGGCAGGGCCTACAACCAGGATGAAGAATAAATTAATTCTTTTCAAGTAGGGAGAACTAACCTCTCCCCACAGCCTGCAAGAGCAAAGAGTGAGAAGCAGGAAAAAAAAAAAAGTAAACCGTTCCACTTCAGGGCAGAATCATACCTGAGATGCTCCATGCTAGAGATCCAATGGCAGATTAATTCAACTGGAAAACAAGAGGAGTAGCCAGGACTATGGTCAGAGGTGCTCCAGTCACCACCACCTTCCCCACCCAGGATTTTTTTCCTCTCCTTAAACCCCAGTGCAAATTAGCCTGAAGAAAATGTGGGTCCCTTTGCAGACAGCTCAGAAACAGCTTGCAAAGCACCACATTCCCCTAAAGACTTTGCACCTGCTGCAAGATGAAGATAAATTCAAAGCCACTGGTGTAAACACTCAGCAAACAGCCCCTCCAAACGCATCGTGTCTCCTTTGAAATATCATTTCCTCGTGCAGTTAATTACTCGCTGCTTTGTACACGTTCCTTTGCTCACCTAAAGGACAAGGAGAGAAAAAAACCCAACAAAACTCTGAGCTCATTTCTTTTTAATATTGGCAGCGCTGCCTAAATTTAGGGAGGGGGAAAAAAAAAAAAAAAAGGTGTGTTCAGAACACATATGGATTTATGAGCAACACAAATATCCCGTGCTCTTGGTAATATGATGTTTCTAAATCAGGCTCATAAATACATGCTTGGGAGATTAGTCTATTAAAAAAAAAAATAAACTTTAATTACCCCATCTTTATCAGCACACAGCCCGTGGTGTTAACCATATGTGGGTGTTAAACACCAAGTGCTTTGCAATCTTCCCCGTCCCCCTCCCCCGGAGATAGCGGCATCGTATGGAATGTTTCGTGGCTACTCGGGATATGAAAATGTATTTCCAACAGCCGAGGAAGACGGGGATGGGGAATTAGAGAAGGAGAACAGCGAGTGCTGAACTGCTTAGCAACACACACACACACACACACACAGAGGCACCGGTGCCCGCCGTGCTGTGCCGCATGCAGAGCACCCGGCACGGGGACAGCAGCATCCCGGGTTCAGCAATCCCACCACAGCCCATCCCGCGTCCCTACAATGTTCCCAGAGCACGCTGATGTTGCTGGCATGTCAGAGGAACTGGGCTCCTAATGATCCTCCGTTATGTTCCAGCAGAGGCTCATTAATGCGGTACAGCAGCGTTTCCAGGACACCCTCACACACAGAAACATCTCAAGGTGTTTTACAAGGGGGAGATCATGTCCAATCAAAGCAAACACCAATTAGGACGA